GAGAAATTTTTAGAATTTTGTAATGGCTTTAGGCTGGATTATACTGAATTATGCTGCCACGTCAATGCATTTTGTTTCTCTTGGGATAGCTTTGGCTGCATCGATATAGCTTTTTCTGTGGCCAGATAAGCTATTCTTTTTCCCAAGGACATTATTCAGTTTATAAAGGCTCTGTGAATGAAAAACAATTATTTTAGATGCTTTCTTTTCCCTATTAGATGAACTGTACGTAAGCAATACAATTTAGTACAAATAAACTAGCTAAAAATCACTCTCACAGATTGATATAAAACCACTAAATCATATCATTAGCTGTCGTCTGCACTCTCCTTCATTCCGGTATGGATTTCACACTTCAAAGCCATATATGAATAATTCATGAATTATTTCCCAGATTACTAACGCATTAAGCTATGCTGTATTTAGAGCTTCACTATGTCAGTGCTCGGCTTTAATGGTATTTTCCAAATTTAGTTTCAGATGAATGATATGTATTAGTAGAGATGCTTTTTTATTTACAAGAGTTAACCCCTCACCCTAGATAAAAGAGTTTCCATACATCAATCTGCATTGCAGCAAATAATATATTTTAACAATACAATTACTACCTATAATTGGACTTTCCCTTTTTATTTTTCCAATTAAAAGCAATAGCTGAAAGCATCAATCATGAGGATAATAAGAATAAAAACCGTAATTTGCATTACAAGTGTCATTACGGGATGATGCATAACAAAATTCAAATGATAAAACTTCTTAACCTTCTGGAATAAGGGATCTAAGTCGTTTGTTCCGATCACGAACTTAATATGCAGATATATGGGAAAGATTATTATCACACTGGTTATATTTTTCGTCCTTTACAGGGATTCGTCCTCGGGTCTGCGGATTAAAGCACTCACCGCCTTGCTTGCAGGCACCAACGCTCACAACGGCTATACCTTTTCGTCTAAGCGCAAATTTCCTAAAAGAACAAGGATTATAGAAGTTAATAAAGAAAATTGAAAATATATCCCAGGTAGCAAGTAAAGTGATATCGGCTGATTATTTATTAGTACGCGTGATAATAAAGTGCAATTATGTACGGAGAAAGAAAATTATCATGCAGGTAGCTATTATTTAACTTCTCCCGTACTCAAATTCGAACTGGGAATGTGGCGGTACAGCAATCGTTTCCTCCAATATAATTTCCAGCATTCTTCAAGCGAAAACTATCTTGCATAAAGTGTACATCGAATACTTTTAATATAATTAGTCATAGGTATTACAAAGGGAAAGCAAAACTGACAATACTGATGGTGCCAATTTACGAAATTGTCCCCTGCCATCATCAGACTGTTGCCCTAATTCGAATTGCGTTTCTAGCTCAGATGTGAATTTAAGTGAGGCAAATCAGTCGTCAAACCTAATTACGCATGGAACTTAGAATTGCGCGATGTTAATACAAACGTAATTAGTTTACTTGTATTTAAAATCAGTTTATCTTCGTATTATACAAATGTCGTCTAGTAGTGGATTTTCTCAGATTTTTGTTGACGCAACCAATATCTACATAGAGTTGACACACTTTTCTCTACAACGTTGTGAAATTATATACACTATTATTCGCCATATTATTTGTATTATATATATATATATATATATATATATATATATATATATATATATATATATATATATATATATATATATATATATATATATATATATATATATATATTCTAAAAAGTGAAATAAAGAAGATCATTGGTGAATTATTAATATATTAAGAATATTCAAATCATATCATGTGACGCTTGATTATGGAATTGATCTTTGCTGCAAGAAAACAAACATTTTGTTCATTTTGTTAGCTTTAGCAATAAATGTATGCTATAATATCTCTAAGGTGTGGGAATTATGTTTCTTCAAAGATATTTTATTCATCACCATGTGCTTCAGCAATAAGTTATATCACTATTAACACATTGAGAGCAATAAGAAAAACCATGTGAGTTGGATGGCTTAGGATGACATGTTTTTGCTGTCAAATAAGGTGAAATAGTTTATAAAATGTCATAAATATAAAATATTGCAGCAATTTTTTTCATCTTAAATCATTGGTTTTCATAGATTGTGGGTATATTTATTATCCGCCAAGAAATGCTGTTGAAATAGCGATGAACGAACAAAAGAGCGGGAATTCAAGTTGTATTCAGAATTGTGGGTTGAATCTTCGAAGCATCAATGCAGAAACAAGTATCGAATATAAAAAATGAAAGTTAAAAAATTTCTTGCCCCATCTTAAATTGGAAATATTTCGTCATGTTACACTTTATCTCGTGGCTCGGTCATTTGTTAAAATATCACCTTTAATACCAAAGGATCAAATATATCCGATATTGATGTATGGATAGAAAATATCAAGCCGCACAAACCTACGCGCATGCGCACGCTCTAAACTTGAACAGAAACAGACGTGGATGACCGAACTCTGGGACTTTGATGATGGCCACCACAGGTAGCTCTATCAGTTCTTGTATTGTAGCTTAAAAGCTGTAAAAGCCCTATCATTGTTGATGCCATCATCTCCTTCAGCATTTGCTGTCATTTCGCCTTCTTGAAGTTCTGCGTGACCTCCTCAAAGTTAAAAAAATCCCAACAAATAAGCAATTATATATAGCCAATCTTTCCTTTTTCTCGCATAGACATGCTGCTCTTCATGACAGATGTAACTTGTGATAAATTATTATTAGCAGGAATTAAAAAGTGCATCATGGAAATGTCATTAACTGATGCATGAATACGGGAGACGAAAAAACAACAAATTCCAAAATTAATAAACCATCTCGAATACAATGAAGAAAACTTGCCCTGAAAAGTGTTAGACACTTCGAAGATATCCAACAAGATAATGATTAAATAGCATGGCTTGTTTTGTGATAATCATTCTACCAAAATCACATATGTTATAGTTCCAAAATTTAAACAGAACGATAAAAAGGTGTAATCAAAAACTTTCCGGTCAAAATGTTTTTGTCACAGATTCCATCAAAATGTCATCAATTAGCATCAAGTAATTAATAAAATTTGTGTGCCAAAATTCATTGCTCCATTTGCTGAGAGAGAATTGTCAATGTTTGCGTTAACGTTATTGTTACTGGATGAATGAATCAATTATCCGTATACAATCACCTGAGGTCGTCCGAACTTTGTACTTCAGCTGAGGTCAACAAGGAGAAAGGATACCACGCAGAGGAGTTCTTCTACAGTATAAACATAACGCGCTTAAGACTCTAAAATTATATTCTCAAGAGGTTCATCCGACCAGATGTGCTTATTTTCCAGCTCTAAACAAGTGAATCCTTTATATTTCGTTATATATTAATTCGATAATATATTAAGATAAAGGTTTGGTGCTGATCAATAAAGTCTCATCCGTTATCAACCAAGACAACCAAGAAAAACCAGCAAGGTTATTTTCATATAATCCGTCGGTTACTACTATACCAAACAGTTAAGAATACTGTTTGAAAGTGTCTGTCTCTTATGAATTCGGCATCTCGAGATCCTGCTTTGTTCAACGATATTTATTGGAATACAAAAAATTCAGTCTCCCACCAGACGAAGTTGTAATTGATGTTACATATTCACATAATTCGGATTAATCTGCATGGATTTATGTCCTTTCTTTCACCTTGTTCATTGCTTCTGAAGCGTTCAGCCAACTGACCGTTGTTATGAAAACAGACCTTCGGGCATTTGTACAAATTGGGATTGGTAGAGTTTTGACCAAAGTAGATATAAATTTAACAAACTGAACAGCCACGTTTCTGATATTCACTTTTTTCACACAGAGAGAGAGAGAGAGAGAGCGCGCACAGATCGAATTTTACTTAAAATCAGTCCACACATTAACAGATATTTTCAGATATAATTATTGCTATATTCAGATTATTTGCATTCTGATACTTTAATAATTCCATAACCTGGATTCAGTTTCAGTACGTGCCTTGTATATTATTGTCACGATTGATGCGTAAACAACGCCGTAGGCTAGTGTTAATCCTTATGCAGGTTGCCAGCCACCTAGACTAAATAAAAGCCGCTAGTAAAAGACTTGTAGTTTTCACGCCCAAGCTTTAAATATTGGTTCAGAGATCAAAAGAAAGCCCGCAGGGTGAACGGGGCGTGTTCACACCCGCTACGTAAACAAAACAAACAAAAGAACGAAAAGACATTAACCACTAAGTTTGATTGATACAGTCTACAGCGACATCCAATCTGAATTATGATAGAGAGTTGGATTAAACTTTATATCAGCATTGGAGCTAAACCTCGCTGTAAAAATATTAGTAGGTTCCTAAACAGATCGTTGTGAAAATATGATAACTCCGGAAAAAGCCACTCGCAATTTGGCCGCAATCTTAGGACAAGAACTGTTAGAGAAGGAAAAGCTTCGACAAGGTTAGTAAGTTATTTACTCCATTTTTGCAAAACAGTGCGGCGTCATAATTGTAATTATTTGTAGTTTGTATGTTTGAATATTGGGACTGTTTTCGTATGTAGAATTGCCTTGTAGTGTTTCATTTATAGTCAATTTTGAGACATGAATATTAGATTTTGTAGAGAATTGTATAGATGTCTAGCCTAGCTCATCAAAGTTACTAATGTAATTCGCTGGTAGATTATTTCGTAGTAAGCAATACCTTTACTAACGTGTTATATTAGAGTTTACGCAAGTTTGAATTGGATTTTTGGAAAATAATTGATGTGATATGTAATGTGATTATGATTTTTAACGTAGATTTAGCAATTTTTCAGTCATATCGCTACGATGTCTACAGTGTGGCATTCTATAGTGATGTCTAGCACTGGGGCATCATGGCGCAGACATGTAGCATGATGTCCCACCCAGTCACATTATCATGACACCAGGACGACCAGTCCTAGCTCTAGCCCCTTAATGCTGAGCGTTAAGCGAGGTAGCTATTAGTACCATTTTTTCTAAGTCTTTGGTATGACTCGACCGGAGGTAGAACCCACGACCTCCCGCATCCGAGGCGGACGCTCTAACCACTAGGCCACCGGAGCGTGATTGAAGTGTGTATGATTAATTACAATATATGTGTGAATATATCTGAGCATGGATATTTGAATATTTGTACATTTGGTATAACTTGTGATGTAAATATATGAGTCTGATTGTTGTTTATTGGTTTGTGTAATGCAATTATGAGTATGCACTTATAGGAATCCATTTATTGTTGTATGTATACGAGTAATTGATACCCTGGTTTTATTTTGTTATAATATGTTGTGATTTACCATCCATAAATATATGTGTATTTCGGTGTGAATGAATGCGTGACCAGTGAAATTTAATATCAGTTATGTGATTATAGGTTGTGGGTAGTGTGAGATGTAAGTGCTGAGGAAAATATTGAACCATTCTTTTGTTTTCACAGGGTACGTTTCGGGGAACAGAATTTCCGGTGCAAGTTTCGTTGTTCTGAGTCTCTAAGAGGGACATGAAAGTGAGACTGACCGTGTAGTCGGAATCCAAAAAGTGTAGTCAACGTAGAGAAGTGGGATAGAATCTGGAAAAAGAGGAAAGCAGTCGGGAGGAGGAAAAATAGGAGGAGGAGAAGGAACTTGGATGGAGTCAGGGAGGAAGAGAAGGGATTAGGAGATAGTGAGGGATACGCAGATGAGTAGAACACAAGGACAGGTAGAAATCTCTCACACTACGAATACAATGATGCGATAGGCTACTAAAATATCGAGTTGTAGAAACGTATTTGGGAATTTCGAATTATTGCCCATATAGTTGTTATTAAATTGTTATTATTGAACTAAAAACCTTTTTGTATATTTAATCATTCAACCATCGTCATTGCTGACTGGGGACTCTGAGCTGTACATCTAACTGTCACAAAATCAAGCCTGGGTGGTACTTGTACAATAATTTAGATAAATATTGGAACCATCACACCCTAATTTTCTACAACCAATACTTCACAGTGGGCGCAACATTTATTATCATTTTGCTTATTCTATATTTGGGATTTTCCTGAGAGGTAGATATATTATACCTGGAGTTCATTAAAAGATTTTTTTCTTGAACTGCACGCCTGAGTCAATGTATTCTTGAAAAAAACAAGCCGAGGATTTGTTAAACTTTGAGGAAATAAAAGGCAAGACGTTTTAAGGAGAATATGGGTTGTTAAGAGCGTACTTTAATAATTGATGTCAGACTAAAGTTAAGTAAAAAAGGCAACAGTGTTCCACACCAAGCAATATAAGAGAGATATGGAGAAATCTAAATTTCACGACGACGATTATAATAGCTATAAAGGTTTGCCGAGACTTAATCTGAGATTGCCCCCAAATTAATTTCAAGCTAAATTTTTTAAGCTATTCCAAATGAATATTAAAACATTTCGCCATAAACCAATCAGATCATGAAGGATCTGTCATTTTCATAAATTTAAGTAAACTAAATGGTTCATCCAGTTGGATTTCAAATATTATGTTTTCATGTTGTTCTCTCTTAACTTTAGATTATCTTGTATCAAAGAACTACTGTTGGTTGTACACAAACAATGGACTCTCATATAGCAGACGCTGAAACTTGATATTCATTTTCATAAATTCAATTACTTTGTTTTTGTAGTCTGTTTTTGTGTTTATTCAGCTTTCGCAGAAAAACAAAATGAGCATATAATAAAATGGTTGCAACATTTGTGAGACAAAATATGAACTCTTTTCTTCGGCATAATCCTGCATTCATAAAGTCGTGTAGTATTGCTTAGAAAAAACTCCATCCCATCAAAATTTTCGATACAGATGCAGAAACATTTAATTGGATGGAATCAGGTTGTTGTTTAGTTAATTTTGTAACGTCGAACTCTAATAAATTGGCTCTAATCAGCGTCGAAAATATATCTTGATTTCTAAAAGAGGTTATTGTAAAAATTACCAATTTAAATAAGAATTTACTTTTTAAATATTCTCTTCTTAAATTCATGTAATTCTACTCGTTTTATTTATAAAGGGAAAAAATTAAATGGTTTGGTTTTATTTTATCCTCTACATCCACTGGGTGATTCCTATATATATATATATATATATATATATTTAAATATATATATAAATAGATATATATATATATACATATATATATATATAAATATATAGATATATATATATATATATATATACATACATACATACATATATATATACATATATATATATATATATATATATATATATATATATATATATATATATATATATATATATATATATATATATATGGGTGAGGGTGCTGTTGTGGGGGTGGGTGTACGAAAATCTTTCTCTAACTTGTTAAGTTGAGTAACTAGATTTTTCCCTCCATTTCAAGGATAGTAATCGAGTTATCGGGTCTGTAACCTAATGTAATTTTTATTTATGTCATTTACTTTGATTGTTAGACATTCGTAGGTAAGCAGAAAACTTAATCAACGATGTGTTTTACCTAGCTTTTTTTGTTCTCTTGGAAACAGATGCTTCCTTCAAAACATAAATAAAGTTATGGTTTCAAATTATGAATGTCTAGAGTATAAACATTGTAAAGTAAACGCGCGAACAAACTACAATTCCAACAATGAAAAAGAAGCTATAAAAAGAATACGAATAGGCTGTCCGGTCACAAAATTCGGTTCACAAGTTCAAAATGTGTCCTCAGGGTCAGGTAAATAATGTATGGATGTGGCAAAATTCATTCTTCCAAGTGCTTTGAGCAAATTTAGGGATTTTTATTACGTTGTTGTTACTGGATGAAGTAGTCAAATATCCTTATGCAATCATTAGAGGTCATTCAAACTCTGTAGGTCAACTGACGTCACAATAGAACTCATAACAAACAAGACAGAACAGATGCAGCAATACAATTCTTTTCTTTGAGAGAGGATACTACGCACAGGACTTTTCTACATACTGAAAATATAGTGACCGCAAGACTCAATCCGTGTACAGGAGGATCTTCCGATCAGTTGTGATCATTTACATCGTTAAACACGTAAGTCCATTGATTTTTCTACTGGTGTGAATTCGATAATTTATAATGATGATCCAAATCTTACTTAAGTCAATATACTACTATTGAAACAAACAACAAGCATATATAAAATATACATTATATCGACAGGTCACTACTGTGCCACTCAAACGGGAATAATGTTAGAATATGTCCGTCCCTTAGGATTTTGACACCTTGTGATCTATGTTTGGTTCAGTGAGAGTTATTATAATAGCAGTAAAATCTATGTATGTCCGTCTGTCTCTCAACCGAAGAGCCACCGTGCTGAAATTCACAATAACAATGTATGGATTTTTGTCCTTTCTTTGACACTGATGGTATTTTAAACTAGTTAAGCCACCGACTGACATTCTGTCATTTGTAAACATTTGGATTTGTGCTGTTTCCGCCTATATACATATACATTTTATATTTTGCACATCCATAGTTCTGAGAGAGAGAGAGAGAGAGAGAGAGAGAGAGAGAGAGAGAGAGAGAGAGAGAGAGAGAGAGAGAGAGAGAGAGAGAGAGAGAAAGAGAGAGAGATTCATTCTTTTGTAGTACAGCACGAACAATTTCTAAACGCGTATGAATCATTTAATCGTTAACTTGACTTGTTGTGTCTATTTTAGTGGAAGATTATACGCTATTAAATTTGCTACAAGCGAGGCGAAATGACAATGTATACCATTAAAATGATTTTCTAAAGTCACCGATCTTTTTCCTACTCTCAATGAGTGATAAGCAAAATATTTAATTCTCAATATACACAATACATAAAATATACACAAAACACACACAATATAAAAAATACATATATCACAACAAACACATACACACAATATCCACAACACACACACACCACAACACATATACAATATACACAACTCACACACCACAACACACACAATATACACAACACACACACCAAAACACACACAATATATACAACACACACACCACACACAAACACACAATATACATAACACACACCAAAACACATTATACACAACACACACACCATAACACATACACCACAACACACACCATATACACAATACACACACCACATACAATATGCACAACACACACAACACACACAATATCCACAACACACACCACAATACACACAATATACACAACACACAACACAACACACACCACCACAACAACACACACACGCCACAACAACACACACACATCACAACAACAACACATTCTACAACAACAACACACACAAAACAACAACACACACCAAAATACACACACATGCCACAACGCACACCAAAACACACACACCACAACACACACCAACCACACCACACACCACAACACACACACCACAACACAGAAACCACAACACACACTACAACACACACTCCTCAATACATGCAAACCACAATACACACACTCAAACAAACACAACACACACAAACACACACAACACAACACACATAAACACACGAACCACAGCACACACGCCACATCACACACACCACAATATACATCACACACACGTACACTACAACACATATACATCACAACACACACAACACACACAGCACAACCTACACGTATCACACATACATCACAACACACACCACAACACACACGCACACATAACACAACACACACGCACACACACCACAACACACACAGACACCCGACACACACCACAACGCACACACCACACACTACACATACAACACACACCACAACACCCACACCAACCGCAACACCCACTCGAACCACAAAACCCCCATATAACCGCAAAACCTACTCGAACCGCAACACCCACACCCACAACCTCCACACTTATATATCAGGAACAATGCTTATACTCCATTACTCTTTGCTACTAGTTCCATTGGCCAAGCAAGCAAAGATTTGTAGTCACCGACTACCAATGATTCCTTGGTTAGACAATCAGCTGCCACCACTTTGGTCTGCAACGCCTGATATCCCTTATTCAAACTAGCAACGTTGATAATATTCGAAGCACTCGAAAACATACCCACATCACGGC